CGTCAAAGGACGTTGAGATTTCAGATTGTTTCCAAAGGCGGCTGAAAGAAAGCAGCTCCGTAGAGGTGCCGGTTACGCCAAGCTGAGCTGTAGTCACAAACTCCGAGAATGTCAGAACCGCTAAGCTCTCGGCAGAGAGAAGGAAAACGTGTCTCCCATTTTCCTCCCGGGGACTGCCCACAGGGGAAAAACTTCTGGAGTGGGAGAACAGAGCAAAACAACCCTCTCGTTGGAAAGGTAGCATCCAGTGGGATGGGGTCGTGAACTGGAGGGGGGGGGGGTAAAAAGACCAGAAAACACCTGGCCAAGTTTGACATCATACTGGAAGTAGTGACACCTCTATGCGCAAAGAAGGCCCTCCTTTTCACCAAGATTTCTCACACAGCGTTCGGTCGAGCACTGGCATGCCTCAAAGCAACCTTCCATTCATCGTTTCATGTGAATCAAGCCATAGCTAGGAGAACTGAGGAGTGATGTTGCTGCACTTTCTGGTGCTATCAACATTTCCCCCCACACACAGGGGGGGGGAGGGTTTATATGCTTAACTGGGAATGGCCTGCACACTCCTAGGAGGGGCCTGTGCGTTCCATTTGCTTGCCTTGGGCTCACAATTCCTGTCAGCCATCTTTTCTCCACTTTAAGCCACAGGTACACTTTGTCCTCTAAGCACAATAATCCACAGGCCTTGTTGTCCAGTTTTAAGTGTTTTAAGAGAGGCTCGCCAAGATTGCAACCGGCCTTCTTTCCCAACATATTGACCCACTACAAAAAGAATCTGGTCAGCAGCGGCTCAAGTCGTGCTGATTTTGATTTAGCGTTGCCTCCACCTCCCCAGGTTACCTTGAGGTAAATTACCTGTTTACATTATGGGCTGACCAAACCCCATCCATTTTTCTAATGCTTGCCTTGGATTTCTGAAGCAGGCTCAGCAGGGGGAGGTGGGTGTTCCTTTGCCAAATTTACCAGGCCTGGCTGCGTTGAAGCCATCTTTTCTTGAGCTCACTCTTAAAACAAGCTTAGATATTCAACCACCGAGCAAGATTTCGTCAACGAGGAAAACTGCTGCTCTCCCCCTCCATGGAAACTGGATCGTGGATCCAGGAAGGCTTGTAGAGGGCTTCTTGGTTTTAAAAAAAGCAAACCTCCTCAATCCAAGCCTCTTGACGATGAGCCTCCGCTCTCCTCCCAAGAGCCTCAAGGCGCTTTCGTGCCAAACACCTGCACATTAAAGATGTCTCCTGCCAGGGCACAGCCGCTAGCCAGCATGCAACGCCAGAAGCGCCTGCCCTCAGAAAACCCTCGGGGCTCAACATGGCTACGGCTACCCAAACCACTTCAGACTCATTCCGTGTCTGCTGGATAAAAGAGAAAAAGAGGTCATGAGGAAGGAGGGCGGAGGTCCGGCCGCCGCGCCCGAGCCGTGTACCTTTCTCTTTGACCAGGTCCTTCAGGTACTGCCACTTGACGTCAAAGGGGATGTTGGTGATGAAGGCTCGGTATCTTTTGGAAGAAGGGCTGGGGTACGGCTCAAAGCGGCTCCCTCCTCCCCGCTTGGCACTCCTTTCTTTCCTTTTCTCGCTCTGGCTGGGCCAGTTGCCTTCACTGCAACAAAAAAAGGAAGAGGACCGAGTCAGACCCCTCCCCAAAAACCAGGCCCAACATTAACTGGAAGCCTAGCTAGGAACAGCCAGACGACATGCCTGTCAAAGCACTAAACCTAGGCTTCTAATAACAAGACACAATAGCTTGGTTCATTGTACTCAAAATCACAGCAATTGCATGCAATGTGGAAAACAACAACTCACAATACAAAGCAGTCATTAACTCAGCAGGAGCAATCTCGAACTGTTCTCAGTTTTCAAAATCTTTCATCTTTATGGCACCCATTTTACAGCTCAGGTACAAGATTTTGTCCAATTTA